TTAGAAAAACCTAAAGATTCCATCAAATAACTGTTAGAACTGATAAGCAAATTTAGTAAAGTTAAAATCAGTAGCATTTATATATGCCAAAAAAAGAACAATCAGAAAAAGAAATCAAAAAGGCAATTTCATTTATTACAGCTACAAAAATACCTAGGAATAAATGTAACAAAAGAGTGAAGGATTTCTACAAAAAAGTTTATAAAACACTGATAAAGAAATTGAAGAAAATACAAGAAAATGGAAAGATAATCCATGTTTGTGAATAGAAAGAATTGATGTTGCTACAATATCTATACTAACCAAAGTAGTCATATATTCAACACAATTCTTATCAAATTATGAATGGCACTCTCCATAGAAATAGAAAAAAGTGATCCTAAAATTTGCCTGGAAAAAATAGAAACCCCAAGTAACCAAAGCAATCCTGAGCAAAACAATATAACTGGAGACATCATATTACCTGACTCCAAAATACATACAAAGCTATAGTAACCAAAACAGCATGGTACATGTTTAAACTTCAGTCACCTTCAAGGTACTCTGCGTGTGATGCAATGCACCTATCTTTTTTTTTTGAGTTGGAGTCTCACTCAGTCGCCCAGACTGGAGTGCAGTGGCCGCTCCTGGCCACTGCAGCCTCGACCTGCTGGGCTCCGGCGATCCTTCCGCCTCAGCCTTCCGAGTAGCCGGAATTACAGGCTGAGCCACCGAGCCCGGCTGCATATCTTTTTTTAAAACACAGAAAGTTCCAGCCTACGTAACACAGCAAGGCCTCCTCTCTACAAAAAATAGAATAAGTCAGCTGGACCAGACAGTGTGTGCCTGTTGTCCCAGCTAATTAGGAGGCTGAGGTGAAAGGATTGCCTGAGCCCAGAAGGTCGACCTTGCAGTGAGCTGTGATTGTGCCACTGCACTCCAGCCAGGACCACAGAGTAAGACCCCAACATAAAATAAAAAATACAGTAAATAAAATACAGTAAAATAAAAAATAAAATACAGTAAAAATACAGAAAGTGCTACCATTGAGTAAAAGGCTGATCGATTTGACTATATCAATGACAGTGAGAAGACCAGGATGCCTTATCAATTCTTGATGTGTAGCTTACTTGTATCTGAACAAATTAAATTTGTCTTTATGATTTTACAACTGTACTAGGAAAAAAAGTTTTATTAATCTATAATACAGAGATTATATTAACATGTTAATACATAATGGTTTATGTCACAATATTTAATATTCACATCTATTCAGTGTTTCCTGCTAGATTCAGTTTTATAATCTAAAATATAATTATAAAGCTTTCACAATATAGAGAAGAGTAAAATCAGTGAGGACTGCTATAATCCAGCAAGACTTCCTGGAAGAGGCAACAAGGCAACAGCATAGACAAGTAAAAGGAAAGACAGAAGAAGAAAAACCAAATAAATAATGAATAATATAAAAATACAATTAATTTCTCTGCCCCTGTGCCCTTGGCAATCCAAAACATACTCTAAGGAGACAGCTTTCTATTTTTATCTGTTATGTGCAGACAGCAAGAAAGTTAATTTCCACAAAATAGAGTTAATCTGGTGAAAGTTCTTTAGTGTATTTAATCTAGATGAAATAGCATCTATTTACCATTATTTCTAGGGTATATTCTTTCAGACACTAAGAAATTTTAATAAGGATGCTTTGAGGGCTTCATCTTATATTGAGGTAATTTAATAGAGTTTCTGGAATCTGGAAAGCCCAGAGGTATATTGAAACTTTGGTGCTAGGTTGGTTTTTAAAAGTGAAAATAAATTAAAATTTTCTTTAGTTTTTTGTCAGTGGTCTTTATACATGTATTTTAAAAGACTTCTAAATGTTTCATTTTCCTTTGTGGTTTATTAGTAATGTTTTCAACCTCTCACAGGCCCATCTGTGAAGGACAGAAATTAGAATTTTGATTTCTTTTATAAGCCTCTTCTTTTTCCAAATACCATGATGACTTTCTGGCAAAAATAGATTTTTTTCAGATTTTTCTCTTAAATGTTGTGGGGCATCCTACCATCAGGATAAAGCAGAGGGAAAACACTAGTTGGGGGTAATCTCTGGCCACCAATTCCAAATTACATTAAGGTATACCCTAGTCGTTGAAAATAAGCTAAATAGAGATAAAATTCTTCTTGATCATTTGACTGAGGACCCAGCAGACTTCTATAAAAACAGTCACCTAATTTTTGGGGGAGGGTATATGTGGTAAGAGCTAACAGACAGCCAAATAATACAGTCAGACTCGGTTTATAATCTGTACCTGAAATACAAAGATTTCTCATCTCAAGTGTGGAATAATGGCATCTTTGGGCAGCAAAGGAGGATCTGAAAGTGAAGCCATGTGTGAATTCAGTCTACATCTGTACTTCACCTCTATTCTTTCTAGGATCATAAAAACAATGCTATATTGTTTCACAAGAATGACCAGACTAAAAAATTTTACATAAATGATTGCCATTTATTAGAACTATTTTGATATGTTAAGCAATGAAAGTGAAGGACTCCAAAGTACCTGCCTGTTGGGTATTTTCCTCTTTACTTCCTGAAAAATATCCAACAGGCAGGTACTGTGGAGCCCTTCACCTTCATTGCTTAACATATCAAAATTACAGGCTTTATTTTATAACATAACATACCCCAAACACCCTATAGGAATAGTGCTGATGAGAAGTGAAGAAAGTACAACTTGAGAAGAAAACAATGAGAGAAACTGATGCTATGCTGGGGGAAAGAAAGGTGGACCTTATAAAACAGCAAACTGCAAACAGATTATCTGGTGGGAGTACCAATAACAATCAAAGTAAATATAGACAAATATACACTTTAGAACAGAGGGAATCACAGCAAATGCTGAGAAGAACAGAGGTGGAGATCCGTAAAGAAGTAAAAATGTACATTTGAAGGAATAAAACCTTAAAGGTGTCTTAATTCATTGAAATTCTTCACTTAAGGATAGTGACTCCTGTACTTTTAATTTTGCAAACGCTGATGTCATCATTAATTTGAGAGTTGGACTAAAAGCACATTTTTATAGTTAGGACTTAGTGACTTGAGATGAATTAGAAACAAGAATGACTCCAAAGTTTCTGATCTGAGCAACAAGATGAATTGTAGGTGCTAATTACTGAGGAAAGGAAGACAAAGAAAAGACCAGATAAACAGATTTGGAGCTTATTTTGGGACATTTTGAGTCAGAGGTGGCTGAGAAATTCAAGAGAAAAGAACAAATATGTAATTCAATATGCCTGTCAGAGATGTAGTCAGAGTTAAGTATGTGAATACAGAGGTTGCCCAAGATCACATGGCTACTGAGCAGTGATGGGTAACAAGGGACATCTTCTGACTCCACATTCATGTTCCGTTCTCTAAGATGCGTGGAAACTAGGGAAATGGAAATCTGTGCCTTAAATCTGGACTCCCACAGCCACTTTTCCTCTCCAAATCCTGCCAAAGTAGAAAATCTAAAAACACTGTATTTCAACTACTAGGCTGAACCAAGGACCAATACTTTCTACCAAATATCAAATTTTGTTTCTTTACCATACTGCTTATGTCAATAAATTTCTGCGGCCTTTTTTCAAACCTGGCTTCTGCCAAAACTTCACTCCCCTAGCTAACAAACCTGCCCAAATGTCAGTGAATCTCAAAGATGTAAACATTAAGCTTTCGCATCAGACTCCAAGGCCTATTCAAATGAAAAGTTAACTGTATAAATTAATCATTTAGTACACGGTCTTTGATCTATTGGGTTGGGCTGGGATTGACATTTGTCAAAGAGATGAATGAGAAAATACAAGTTAACTATGCTTGAAGGAGAGAGAGAGAGAGAGAGAGAGAAAGAGAGGTGTGAAAATGGACCAGATGGCAGAAGAAACTCCAAAAACGACTGAGAAAGAACACCCAGAAATTGGAACCCGAGGCAAACAAGAGTTTCAAGAAAGAACTGACAGATGCAGTGAAATTTTATAGTTTGGGGAAACAATATTCCCCAAACAATGTTCCCCAGTTCTCAGGAATAAAAGTACAGTGTTAAGCTCCTGTAAAAAAAATCCCTATCTAACACTACTATCTCCATCACCTTTGTCCTACATCCAGAAATGGTCCTCCAACCTCAAAACTAGAAGAATGCTCAAGGACAAGGTCATTTATTCCACTTTTCACTTAGAAAGTTTTACCCTAGGCTGGGTGCAGTGGCTCATGTTTGTAATCCCAGCGCTTTGGAAGACCAAAGCAGGAGGATTGCTTGACCAGGCTAGGCAACATAGTGAGACCTTATCTCTACAAAAAAATTTAAGGAATTAGCTGGGTGTGGTGATATGTGCCTGTAGTTCAAGCTACTCAGGAGGCTGAGATGGAAGGATTGCTTGAGTCCAGAAGTTCGAGGCTGGGGTGAGCAGTGATCACACCACTGTATTCCAGCCTGGGCAACAGAGTGAGACCTCGACCCCCACTCCACCAAGAAAAAGTTTTACCATAATTTGTTCAACAAATATCCAATTCCATCCATCCATCAGGTTCTGGTTCTTCCTGAGGACACCACCTGATGCCAAACAGACCAGGTTAGTTCTCTGGATATCAAAGGCAGCCCTATTGTTTCTATAGTGAACCTACAGTGTTTACCCAAAGGATTTAAAAATCCTACATGTTCACTGGAGCATCCAGACTCAACCTGGTTGCTACCTTCCTTCTGCAGCCTCCAGAATGGTGCCAATGCAGAACAGAGGGAAGGTTTCCTCCTTTCTTGGAAACTTCTGCATGCACTGAGGGATGCCAGTATCCTACAGGTTTTTTTGACCAATGCTTTTTCCTATATTCCATGACTTCCCAGTTCCCAGCCTAGTCTTTTCTGAGCAGTGATGACTGCTCACAAATGAAAAACACATACACACAAGAAGGAATGCATTTTTATGGGGATAGTGTTTGCGATCAGAGAAGAAATTATTACAAAAGGGGGTGAGGGTGATATTCAAATTTGAAATTAGCTTGAAGTGTTGGTAACTGACAAGTTGGAGTTGGAGTCATAATCCTCCTTCATGTTGTTAAAACTGTTTGGATTCACAGGGAGTTTCAGGCAGCACTTTTGATCATTTGTGCAGGTTAAGTATTGAATTTCATATTTTCTGCAGGTGTTTCTGCACTTGCCTTGGTAAAGCTCACATGGATTCCAAGGCTCTTGGCTCTTGCCATTGTGGGATCTGAACAGGCCACCTGGGAAAGATATAGATAGCTATGTTTAGTCTCCATGCAGTGGTGATAATAGGGGTGAGGAACCATGATTTAAAGAGAAAAAGCCCTAAGGAAACTAAGCCACAAGCTCTGTGCCAAAACTACGTGAATTCAAATCTGAGTTCTGCCACTTTCTAACTTTCTCTTCTCAAGCAAGTTACTTCAGCTTTCCAGTCCTCCATTGCAACATCTCCACAATGGGCATTATAATAGAGTCAAGTTCCTAGCTTTTATAATGACTAAACTGCACACACAGTATGCTCAGAAAAGCATCCAACACATAACAGGTAATAAAATATTAGATGGTGCTGCAGCTATGAAAGTCTCCTGAGAGTCTGCAGTTTCAAGAGCTGCCCCTGCTAGCAAGAGTGTCCCCAAATGCCTGCAGAGATGTGTGCTTCTCACACATAGTTCATCAGAGACAGTCAGGATCTACTCTGAGACAGCACACAAATATTTGAGCCCATATGCATGCATGCCCTTGTGCTTTGAAACACAGAAGCAGACATGTCTCTCTTTGTACACTGGCCCCAGGGAAACAACTCCTGTGCATACATAGGCAGCACATTGGCACATACACAGACATATATGCACAACTCATTCTATTCACAGATCAACATCCTCACATAAATAGAGCATGTGTGGTCACTGTACAAACCTCTACCACACACTTACCACATATGACTGAGGCTCATCGTGTTAGCTGTATATCAGTCATCCAGGCGTGTACATGCGTATGTAGGCTCTTTGCCTGAAAATACCCCGGTGACAAAGTTCCTGACACCTGGTCAGCATTGTGTAAACATTAGTCCTCATTAGCATTAGTTACCCACTGGATCTTCTAAAGACAAAGAAACCACAAGAAAGAAGCTAATAATAACTACCACCACCATCTGCTGTGATATAGGTCAGCATCTACTATGAACCAAGCACTTTACAAATGATATCTCACTGATCCCTCATAAAAACCTGATGCTATCTCCATTTCTTTTTAGATGAAGACACTGAGGCTTAAAGAGATATCTGCTCTATCCACAGGCCTATATCTTATACTACACTAGGCCAGTACTCAATTTGTGATCTGCATGACAAAAACCCATGCTTTTTTCTCTCTGAGTCACATTACCTCTCTGTGGTATGATTCCTAGGAGAGGATGGTATCATCATGTCTACAGGCACAGAGCCTTCTATATCTTTCAACAGGAAGTCCAAAATCTTTAGCTTACCATTCAAGGGCCTTTTTAGACATTCAGCCACACCCTCATTCCACACACACTTATTAACACTCACTCTGTAACAGGCCATGTGCTCAGTGCCAAGTAGATAGAGGTCTCTGATTAATAAATAAAATTAATTTATTAACATTCCTAAAAATGGGAGGCACAAGTTCCTGCATGGAAAAAAGGAACACTTTGCCAATTTTTGACAAGAGAAAGCAACATTTTTAGGTTTGGTTGAAATTGGAGAATGGAAGGGGGAATAAAGAAAGGAAAAGTGTTCCAGTGGCAGAAATCCCATAGCATTTGGTTACTGATGTGTGTATGAACTGCATCAAAAAACTAGAGAAGGCACTCAACTGCTGCAACATCAATCAGCCTACTGGTCAACCCGAGGAAGAGGGTTGAATAGGGCAACCAGTCATTTGTACCAGAGTATCATTGGACCACTGGGTTCTCCAACTGAACCCTCAATCTCATCATGGGACCTGCCGGCTCTCTCTCTCTCAGCACCATTAAACTTTCAGGAGGGGGATATCTTTAGGGGTCTTCCCAGGGTAACATTCATACTCTTCTGGCTAATACTTGACTTGGAGAAATTTCCTGTCTCCCAAACATACTGGATGGCAGTCAGGGCACCTAAGATCTCCTATCTATAGCCACCAGAAAGATGGATAGGAACACAGGTACAGAATTAGTAACAAGGAATTTGTCTTTCCCTCATTCTCCCCACATGGAAGGTAGGTCAAGGCAGCCTCAGGAGAATTCTGTCTAGAGTGGCTAAGTAAACAAATAAATTGAAAAAGCAAAAATCGAGATTTTATCATAGATGTTTATAATTTCTCACTCCTCCAGCTTTTCTAGCTCTATATTGCACTGCACTGTTACAAATTTTAATACCCACATCAAATTAATGTCACACTTGATCATCCATACATCTTCAAATTGAAACCAAAGGTGACTTGTTTTTGAATTCCAACATAGTCTCTGACCCTCTGCACACTGTAATATTTTAACTCTCTGGATCTAGCCTATCTGTGTGAGAAAATGGGAATGAGGGAGTTTGCACCAGATCAGAAAATCTCATGTGTTTGTGAAGGAATATGTTAATAAAATGTCACACTTTATAATAACCTGGGAAATTTTTAAGTATATTCACACTAAATCTCTAGGATTTCTGACTCATTATATCTAGGGAGAGGCCAGAGTAAGGGTGCTTTGCAAGACTTCCCTGGAAAATACCAATGGGCTCCTCTTGAAGTAAATGCCACAATCTTGCCTGGCCTTCTCACTTTTTGCTATAGACATTGCCAGTTCATTTATCGACATTGAAAAAGCAAATTAAAATATCATAAGTTAAAAAACAAGCAATATCCTTTGGACCTTCCTAACAATTCCATTCTGAGCCAAAATCAATGTCATGTATTATTGCTTTGCCTCTAAACATGACTCTTCCTCTCTCAACTTCTAAGTTTCTTTCTACTCATATACATTTATTAGCAATAGTCGTTTGTATATGTATTCATTCAATAAACATTTGCTAAAACCTGCTCTGTGCAAAGCACTCAGCTCAATACCAGAAATATATAAATTCGAAAGTCTTGACTCTCAAACAGTTCAATTTCATATGCATACCTTTGCAGTGATGAAAGAAAACAAAATGCTTTGATTATCCTAGTAGAATTGTCCAAAACAGTTCCTGTCCATAAATTCTGCCAGATGAAAGTATTGGTTATTAAGGAAGCTACACTATGTACAACTTTTGAAGCATAGAGTACAATCTTCTTTCTATTGTTGGTTTTGCAAACCCACCTGTGGTTTTTACCGCTATTCTAACATGGGCTCTGAGTTTTAGTAAACATGAGAACAAATGTGGCTCAAGTAAAGGGAATTTTAAAAGGTGATAAATAGCAAAGTAGAAGAATGTGGAACAGGAGGAAGATGGGAAAGGAAAGTGTGGGGAAAGGAGAAATGTAGACAGAGAATAAAGGGGAGAAGGAGGAGAAAACTCTAGACACGATGATTCTGAACTCATTCTCAAGAAGGTTAAAATAATCTTGGTTTTCTATAAGGCTGGGATGAAACTGCTCCCATATCTCTCTACATACACTAAGGTTTGACAGGAGACCCATTTCAGTCTCCTGATTTCATTTGTCCTAACCACCTAGGGTTATATATATTGTTCTTCAGTGCCCTTGAAAATCACACTCAAGAAACTTTTTTCAGGATTTGGAAATAATATGTATATTTTTCATCCAGTGTTTATTCTCTTATTTCTTTTTTAAAACCACTTTATTGACATACAAAATATGCATATTTCATTTATACATCCTTATGAGTTAGGAGATAAGTATACACCTGTGAAACCATCACTGCATTCTCCACCATAGACCTATTCATTACCTCTAAAAGTTTCTCCCACCCTCTTCTTTAATTATTTTTTGTTTATCCAGCCATTTAACATGAGATCTACACTCCCAGCAATTTAAAAAATATACAGTATAGTATTGTTAATTGTAGGAAATATGTTATACTTTAGATCTCCAGGACTTCTTCATGAGAAGATAATCTCTTTAACAAATAGTGTTGGGAAAACTGGATACCCATATACAAAAGAAAAAATTAAATTGGATCCTTATCTCATGCCATACACCAAAACCAACTAAAATAGATTAAAGACTAAATCTAAGTCCTGAAACCACAAAACTATCAAATGGAAACATAGAGAAAAAGCTTCTTGACACTGGCTTTGGTAATATTTTCTTGGACATGACACCAAAATCACAGGCAACAAAATCAAAAACAGACAAGTATGATTGCATCAATCTAAACAGCTCCTGCACAGCAAAGGAAACGATCAAGAAAATGAAAAAGCAACTTACAGAATGGGAGAAAATATTTGCAAATTACATATCCAAGAAAGGGTTAATATTCTCCCCATTTCAATAGCCATGGCTCTGTTGTGATGAATTCAACTGGTTTACTCAAGCTTAATCACCCCCAAACTCAGGTTAAGTCAACCTGATAAACCTGATAAACCCAGATAAAACTCATACATTCTACTTGAATAAGACACATGCTTGAGTCAAGCACCTAATTCCAACTCAAGCCCTTTCTCTTTTCAAATTCCAAATGCAAAACATAACACAAGTATAACACTATCTAAGCCCCTCAACTCCAATTTATAGTATCAATCCAAAACACAGCCCAACTACAAACTTCTCTGTATCTCAACACCTAGTTACACCTAACTCTGCCTCCAGCTCCATTGAACAAAAAATTCCATTCCTTCTCCAGGCTACACCAGCCTTATTCTATAAATATTTTCACCCCATGCTCTCCCCCACTCATTTTTCCAGTATTACTCTATCTCTAAGGTCTTGCAACCTCCCCACTACAACTCACTATTCACTTCCAAATTGCCTTTTATTCCTCCTACGACTCCTCAACTTGGACCCAATCTCTCACACCTATCCTATGAATCAAGCTCTCAACCCAATGACAATGCTACCTGAAATGCTTCATGCTTCGACTCTCTGCTATGCCAGGAACAACAGGAACAATAACCTCTTAAATTTGTCTTGGCAGAGCAGAACGAGAGGAAATCTTAACACAAAGTGAACATTGGGAGGAATGTCTACAGCCTACCAGAGATCAGAAAAACCTTTAGGTATGCCTACTATATGTGAGTAGGAGTCATCTCAGAGGTCACCAAGATATCAGTACCATATGCAAGATCCAGAACCTTTGAGAGAGACCTAAGTTACCTGGAGTCTTTAGAACCAGGTTCAGAAGGATGGCAATGGTCATTAAACAGGGCTTCATGAGTGACATGTTCTGAGAGAATGAACGGCTATGTTGTGGGTGACCGAATTAGAGATCACTGGAGTAGGGCAGTGCCCTGCCTTTATTAGTTTTGAGAATGGGGCAGGGTTGAGTGCAGTGAACTGAAAGGGATGGAAGATACCTGAGGTCAGTCAGGCAGAAGTATAATGTGTATCACATATCTCAGCTGGACACTCTGTGTAAGTGTGGGAGACTTGCCAGTAGCACATATGCCTAGATGCGTCTTTCTTCACAGAAAGAAACAAAGATAAATTAGAGCCAGCTGGCATTTTGTGTGAGACAAATTGAAATTAATAATCAGTCAAGTAAGTAATGAGAAGATTAATATGTAATTATATAAGAAAAAGGATTATTTTTACTGTAGTCATCATGTTGTGCAGTGGAACACCAGAACTTATTTCTCCTAACTAAAAGTTTGTACCCATTGACAAATGTCTCCCCTTTCCCCTACACCCTTCTTTCAGCCTCTGGTAACAATCTTCTACTCTTTACTTCTATGAGCTTGACATTTTAGATTCTACATGTGAGTATGGTATTTGTCTCTCTGTCTGCCTGACTTATTTCACTTCACAGAATGTCTTCTAAGTTCATCCACATTGTTGCAAATGACATAATTTCATTTTTTAAGTTTAAATAGGACATTACAGTTTACAGTTAATAATAATGAAATAGCTAAAAAAAAAATTTTAATGTTCTCACCACAGAGAAATAATACATCTTTGAGGTGATCGACATGCTGATTAGCCTAATTTGATTATTGCACAATGTATACATGTACAGAAAACACACTGAACCCCATAAATATATGCAATTATTATATTTCAATTAAAAACAACATAAAACTCTTTTTAAAAAAATTTTTAAGCATTTGGCTTTTTCCTCCTGTCATTAGCACTTACTATATAACCAATACTGTACTAGGCATCATGGATTAACAACAAGAAAAACAAAAGATGGGGAAAAAAATTTACAAGGGAAGGGTAGCTGGAGAAAATTTTACAAAATATACAAGGAGGAGCTTATACCAATCCTATTGAAAGTATTCTGGGAAATTGAGAAAGATGGAACTCTCTCCAATTCACTTTATAAAATTAACATCATTCTGATTACTAAACCTGGCAAAGACTCAACAAGGAAAGAGAATTGCAAGCCAATCCTCTTGATGAACATAGATGCAAAAATTCTCAATAAGATTCTAGTAAACCAGATCCAAAAACACAACTCAAAAATCGCCCATCATGACCAAGTAAGCTTCATACCTGGGATGTAGGGCTGGTTCCACATCTACAAGAACATAAACATAATTCAATATATTAGCAGATGTAAAAACAAGAACCACATTAGATGTAGAAAAAGTTTTTGACAAAAGCCAGCCTCACTTCTTGATAAAAACCCTTGAACATCTAGGCATAGAAAGAACATTCCTCAAAATAGTAAGAGTCATCTATGATAAACCCACAGCCAACATATTTCTCAGTGGACAGAATTTGGAAGCATACTCACTCAAAATGAAAACAAGACAAGGCTGCCAACTCTCACCCTTCCTGTTCAACATAGTGTTGGAAGTCCTTCCTAGAGCAAACAGACAAGAGAAGGAAATGAGAGGTATCCAAATAGGAAAAGAGGAAGTTAATCTATCCCCCTTTGGAGATGATACGATTCTATACTGTGAAAGCCCAAGAGAATCCATCAAAACCCTCCTTGCGATGATAAATGATTCTGAGAAAGAATTGGGGCACAAAATCAATGTGTAAAAGACAGTTGCATTTCTATACACCAGCAACAAACAGACAGAGAAACAAATAAAAAGCACAATCCCCACAGTAGCTAGAAAAAGAAATACCTTGGAATCTACCTAACCAGAGAAATGAAAGACATTTACAACAGAACTACAAAATGGTACTCAAAGAAATCAAACCACAAACAAATGGAAAAGCATCCCTTGTTCATGGATTGGAAGAATCAATATTGTCAAGATGTCTATCCTACCCAAGGCAATCTACAGATTCAATGTGATACCCATCAGATTACCAGCATCATTCTTCTGAAACCTGGAAATGACAGTACAGAAATTCATATGGAAACAAAAAAGAGCACAAATAGCCAAAACAATCCCTGGGAAAAGGAACAAAGTTGGAAGAGTCATACTTTCAGACCTTAAACTCTACTGTAAGTCTACAGTAATCGAAACAGCTAGTACTGGTACAAGAACAGGCATATAGACCAATGGAATAGGAAAGAGATTTCAAATGCAAAAACTCAATCTCTCAACCAAATAGTCTTAGACAAAGCCATCAATAACAACCACTGGGGAGAAGATATCTTATTTAGCAAATGATGCTGAGAAAACTGTTTGACCACAAACAGAAAAATGAAACAGGACCCCTACCTACCACCATATACAAAAATAAACTCTAAATAGATCAAAGACCTAAATGTAAAACTTCAAACTATAATAATCCTAGAAGAAAATGCAGGAAACACTCTTATGCACATTGGAATAGGTAAATAATTTTTTATCAAATCCCCAAAAGTGTATGCCATAAAAAATAAGATAGACAAGTGGGATCTCATCACACTGAAAAGTTTTTGCACAGCAAACAAAGCCATCAAGAGAGTGGGAAAACAACACATAGAATGAGAAAAAAATATTTGCTAACTGTGTATCTAACAAAGGCCTAACATCCAGGCTTTATAAGCAACACAAATGTGCTGAAAGGAAAAATCAAGCAGCCCTATCAAAAAATGGGCAGAGGATATGAATAGACACCTCCCAAAAGAGTACTTAAGAGCAGCCAACAGATACATGAAAAAAATGCTCAGCCTTACTAATCATCAGAGAAATGCAAATCAAAACTACATTGAGATACCACCTAATGCCAGTAAGGATGACCATTTTTAATAAATGAAAAACAACAGACACTGACATGGGTATAGAGAAAATGGGATGCTTCTACACTGTTGGTGGAAGTGCAAACTAGCCCAACTTCTGTAGAAGACAGTGGAACAAGTTTTAAAGCAACTAGAAATTGACCTCTCATAGAATCCAGCAATCCCCCTTCTGGGAATATAACCAGAGGAACCCAAATCATTCTACAAAAAAGACACCTGCACACACATGTTCACTGCCACACTCTTCACCATAACAAAACCATCCATCACTACTGTCCATTGAAAGTGAACTGGATAAAAAATATATACATATACATGATTGAATATTATGTAGCCACAAAGAAGGACAAAATCATGGACTTTGCAGTAAATTGAATGAAGTTGGAGACAATCATACTTAGTGATCTACAAAGAAACAAATAACTGAATACCACATATTCTCACTCATAACTGGTATCTGAACATTCATCACAATAGCACAAGGGAGGAATCAGCAGTCACAGGACATTGCTAGAGGTGGGAGGAGGACATGCAACAACACACATTCAATTCCAACTTGTACCTCACATCTTTATAACAAAATAAAGACAAAAATAGGGGGGGAAACTCAAAAAGAAGGAGCAAAGCATCTGAGAGATGTGAGAAGTCAAATATACACCTGCTTAATAGCCCTTAAACAGAAAGAAAAACTGAAAACACCATGGAACAAGCACTCCATGAGGTCATCCAAGAAAACTTCCCACATCTCTTCAGAGAAGTGACCATCCAAGCACTAAAGATTCAGATAACACTCACAAGGATATTATCGGAATAACATTCCCCAAGACACATAGTAAACTGCCTCTACAAAATAAGCATGAAAGAAAGAATCCTAAAAGCAGCAAGGATACAAGTCAGACTACCTACCAGGAAAGACCCATTAGAATCTCCAGACTTATCTGTAGAAACACTACAAGAAGAAGGGATTGGGGTCCAATTTTTTATGTTATTAAAGATAAGCAATTCCAGTCAAGAATTTCCTACCCTGTCAAGCTAAGCTTCATCAGTGATAGAGAACAAAAATCCTTCCCAATCCCTAAGAAAATATACTGCCTCCAGACCAATCCTTTAGGAGATGCTTAAGAAGGTGTTGAATGCAGAGAAAAAAGGACCAATCAACCTATCATAAAAGTACAGGCAAGCACAGAGTTAACAGAGAACTCACAAAAATGAAAGCACACATATATAAATATAAAAGTGAAAAGGTAACAAAGCAAACCCCTAAGAGCCCTATGATGAACAAACTTTCACATTTCAATAATCAATTTGAACATGAGTGGTCTAAATGTACCACTGAAAAGACATAGAACAGCAAACTGGATAAAGAAGCATGGTCCAACAATGTGCTGCCTCTAGGAAACTCATTTCACTGCAAAGGACACCCACAGAGTCAAAGTTGGAGGCTGGAAAACAATCCTTCAGGTGAATAGAAAACAGAAGGGGGCAGGTGCAGCTATTTTGATATTAGACAAAGCAATCTTCAAATTATCAATAGTTCAGAAGGATACTACATAACAATAAAATTCAGCAAGAAATATTCATCCTAAACATATATGCACCAAACATAGAAGCAGCAAACTTCATAAAACATGCACTGAGTAAAGTAAGAGAGGACATTGACTCTCACACAATCATAGTTGAAGGCCTAAATACTCCACTAACAGTTTTAGATAGATCATAGTGGCAAAAAACCAACAAGGAGATTTGGAACCTACAGAATACTTCACCCAACATCTACAAAGTATGCATTCTACTCATCAACACGTGGAACATACTCCAAGGTCGATCACATTATTGGACATAAATCAAGTGTGAACAAATTTCAAAAGCTCTAAATAATATCATGCATATTCTCAGATAACAGTGGAATAAACAAAAATATTGCTACCAACAAGATTCCCCCCAAAACACACAAAGACATGGACACTAAACAGCAGGCTTCTGAACAAATTACTGGTCAAAAATGGAAAACAAGACAGAAATAAAAAGATGCCCAGAAACAAATTAAAACAAAGACACATCAGTATCTCTGGGATGCTACGAAAGCAGTGTTAAGA